ATCTTACTTTTCCGTTACTCAGATGAGGAAACAGATACAGAATTCAAAGTAATAATAAAACTAGTAATAATCAAGAAAAAAAAAAAAACTCAGTTCCCATTCTGCTTTCCAGTCAGTGTATTATCTCCATGGTCTTAAACTACTCCATCCCTTCTGAAGGATTTGTGGTGTCTAAGTCAACTATTGCCTTGATTTTTAAAACTTTGTCAGAGAGCGCTGCCCAGCTAAACTGGTGAGAGAGAGAAATCAAAGAATCTAAAACCACACCAGATATACTGATCTAGTATATCTCTGTATAGATTTGTTGACTCTTCATGCTTTGGACCTGGCCTCACTTCAAAGCACAAGAGTAGACCATTCTGCCAGCAGTCATTGTTCAGCCAATGAAGAAAGTACATTGAATGATGGTAAACAAAATATTTACAAAATTCCCCCAATGGGCTCACCTTCATTTTAGATCTTTGTCTCACGTAAATGGATCTATCAAAACCTGTCTGATCTATTAGTTCTGCGAAGGTATTGGGGAAAGACCTTCAGATGGTGTATGTCACTATTGCTCAATAAAGTACACCAAGATAATGCTATTGCATGCTCAGCTATTTCATTAGCTGAGAATTTATGGTTTCTATTTCATTTTTAAGGCTCTAGAAAAGCCATCTTACAGAGAAATTATGTGTTTCCTGATGAAGAAAGTTGAACTACCTTACTATACTCATCCCATAGCTGTTAAAAAAAAAAATTAGCTCCTTCTGCTTAACTATATTGTTGGCTACCAGATGTGTCACGATGCTGTATCAGGTGGACAACCTGTCCTGGTCGTTAAGTGGGAACTTTGCTGTGCAACTACAACGACTCTTGCATAAGAGTGATAAAAATAAATCCTAGACACTGTCAGAGATAAGGTTCCACTGACTTGAGACACATCTCCACACCTGAGACAAGATGGATCAAATTGACATCTGTTGCAATTCTACCAGTCCAATGAAGTAAACAGATTGACCTTATTTTCATCAATCTAAATTTGGTTCTATGCTTGTCAATGCTACAGGACTTACACATGATACATGCATCAGCATAGACCACTCAAAATACTTTACAAGCAAAATTTAAACTTACTTCACCTCTTCCCTCCATGCACACACACAGAATCTTAATGTGGGCCTTTGGACACATTACAGGAAGATTAAATCACAGAATCACAGAATCACAGA